GTGTCATGAGGGCATGGACTAGTTACGGCTCTTGAGTGATGATTACAGTACTGTTATTTTTGTTGAGAAAGTTGTAAAATGGGGTGAAATTGATATATATGTCGAACACGGGTTAGATTATGCTTCCCTTCATTTGGAGTTGTCGTGTATTGATGCGAGTAATGATGTTGGGATGGGAAATGAAGCTGGTGAAGACACATCAGTGGTACAAAATGTTCAAATCGATAATGAGAACTCTGAAACTGAGGGTGTTGATGTTGAAATTAATCCTACACCATTTGAAGAAGACTCAGAAGTTAAGTTAGTGTGCATTTTAGAAAAATAGGAAGGAGTCAGGATATTGAAGACAGTGAAAATGAAGATCCTCCGAGTGATGATGTAGATGATGACAGTGTGTACTATGACAGTGAAGACCCCCCGAGTTATGTATCTTAAAATGAGGAAGAAGATCCAAGAATAAAAGACAAAACCAACTTTCCTTTCTACCATAATGAGTCTGATCCATCCACATTGGATGTGGGGATGTTGTTTGATGATGGAAAGTATTTCAAGAATGCTATGATAAGGTATGCCATTCATGAGAAAAGGGACATACGTTTTGTAAAAAATGAGCCACTAAGAGTTTGATTCAAATGTCTACAAAACTGTCCCTTTGAGTGTTCAGCATCTTGGGAAAGAAGCTTTGGCTGTTTTCAGATTAAGACACTGGTTACTTCACATAGATGCAATCAGAGGTTCCATTTGCAGGTAGTCAGTCAGAAATGGATACATGAAAAGTATGAGTCAAAGATCAGTGACAATCCTGGTATAGCCCATATGGAACTGAAGAAACACATTGAAGACGCGCTGAAAATCAATGTCAATGTTTACATGGTTGGCAGAGCAATAAATGAAGTGCTGAAATCAATAAATGCAAAATTTGAAGAGCAATTTAAAAGAATACGTGATTATGCACAAAAATGTTTGGACTCTAATCTCGGAAGCACGGTGAAAATCCTCACAGAGAGGCACACCCCTGAAGGACCTTGTGTCTTCAAAAGAATGTATGTGTGCTTTAGTGCAATGAAAGCAGGCTTCCTTGAAGGGTGTAGGAAGATAATAGGGCTAGATGGCTGCTTCATCAAGACTACTTTAAAGGGTGAGATATTGTTCGCGGTTGGGAGGGATGAGAATAACCAAATGTACCCCATCGCATGGGCTGTCGTGGAGATACTTGGAGATGGTTTTATCGCTTTTGAAGGGTGATTTGGCCATTGAAAATGCTGCTTCTTGGACGTTTATCAGCGATCAGCAAAAGTTAATTTTATGATTACCTTTGGATTTTTTAGTTTACTGGTTTTTACTTGGACTATTTGTTTGTTTCTTTGTGTTTTTTTAGTTTAGTGTTTGTTACTTGAAATATTAGTTTGTTGCTTACTGGGTTATTTAGTTTACTGTTTTTATAGTAACATTCTATACTTGAAATATTAGTTTGTTGCTCACTGGTTTATTTAGTTTACTGTTTTATAGTTAAATTCTCTACTTGAAATATTAGTTTGTTGCTTACTGGGTTTTTTAGTTTACTGTTTTATAGTTAAATTCTCTACTTAGGTTTATTTAGTATTCTGTTTTTTACTTGAATGATTTGTTTGTTTTTTACTTGCAGGGACTACTAAATGCAATCAATGAATCATTTCCAAATGCAGAAGTGAGGAACTGTGCTAGACATATCCACGCCAATTGGAGTAAGAGCCAAAGAGGTAAAGTGATGAAAAAACATTTTTGGCTATATGCTCGGTCTACTAATGAAGCTAAGTTCATGTACAACATGGAAGCATTAAGAAAGGTAGATTAGAAGGCCAAGGATGATTTGGAGAAATACAGTCCCTCACTGTGGTCAAAAGCATTTATTCAAACACAGGTGAAGTGTGATGCTATTGATAATAACTTGTCTGAAGCCTTCAATTCCACCCTAGTTAAGGCAAGACAAAAACCCAGCATTCCGATGCTTGAAGCAATTCGAGTGGGTGTAATGCACAGAATTGCAAAGAAGAAAAAAAGTGTGAAGAATTGGAACGGTAATCATGGATGTTTCATTATGAAACAACTTGAGAAAAACATCTTACACAGCATGGGCTGACATGTGAGTATATTTCTTACAGGTTTATGTACCATGTAGCAAATTAAGTTGTATAATTTAATGAGTAAATATGTATCTCACAGGATGATTTCAATGGTGATAATGGGCATGAAATAAAAAAAAGGAAGAATGCACTTCACCGTGAAGTTGTACAAAAGGATGTGTAGTTGCAGGTCATGGGATTTAACTGGTATTCCATGCGCACACGCTGTGTGTGCTATTTTTGACAAGGGGGTGCAACCAGAAGACTTCATTGATGAATGTTATTCAAAAGAAGTGTATTTGAAGACTTATAAGCATACACTGAATCCCATGAATGGAGAAATGCTATGGCCCAAGATTCAAACAGAAGAGATTCTTGCACCTATCCCAAAGAAGATGAGCGGCAAGCCAAAGAAGAAAAGGGTCCGGGAGGTAACAAAAGAGGCTCCTTGAAAAAGTGGGAAAAGAGTTTCGAGAAAAGGCAGAATAATGACATGTTCTTTGTGTAATGTTCAAGGACATTCAAAGGTCAAATGCCCTAAAAAGGCCACTGAACAACCAACTTCAACTGTGATAAGAAGAAGGAAACATAAAAAGGGAGCAAAGGAGGCAGGATGTGGTGTTTATAGCGATCCAAACACTGGTACAACATATTTGAATGTAAGAATTTGTTGCAGTATTTAGTACTTCACATTTTTCTTTCAACTAATATGAATGTAATTCCTTACAGCCACCTGTTTTCTAGATCGTTTCTGTGCAGCCCGGCCAATCTGGTGATTTAGTCATTGAAGATGGAAACTAGATTATGGACTTGCTTTTGTTAGGAAGAAGTACTTGGTTTTGAATTGATGCTTAATCAGCCTGATTTGCTAGGCCACTTTGTTTTAATTGTAACCAACTGCCTACTTTAAATATATTTGACAGCTTTATTTTGGAGTTGGAAGCTTAAGTGTAGTACTTGGCAACTAGGATGGTGTTTAACCAGGCCACTGTGTTTTTGTAATCAGCTGCCCACCATTATCTATAATTGACAGCTTTTATTTGGAGATACTATGCAATTTTTGCTATCCGTTGTATGCTACACGTACATTTGGCAGATTATCTTGGCTATAATTTCAGTGTCCGTAATGAATTATTGTTGAAGTGTTGTGCATTGTTACAAGTATTTTTTTTTTTATAATTAAACCTCTTATCTACTAAGTGAAGGCCACAAAATATGCAGCAAACTGTCAATATGCAGGCCACATTGAACCAACCAACCACATTGAACTAAGGATACCACAATTTAATTACAAAAAATATGCCTTCAGACAATCAGACATCCATCTAAACGAGTTTAACCAACCAAAGAATCCTGCTTAAAGTGCATCATACGCTCTGTATGTGCCGAAAAGTGAAGTATTCACTACCCAACTCTGGAATATGAAATTAACTTTATAAACATTTACCAAATCATTCACAGTGACAGGGTATCCCAAGAATTCTTTTGTATGTCATTATATGTCCATATCCAAACAAAATTAATGAGGTTTCATGGAAGCTTTTTCCTTTACAAACACATGTGATTTTCTTCCTTTTTCTTCCTTTTTTAAAAATGCATACCGGTCTCAAAGTACTTGAACCTCCTACCCAACATAATAACTAGAAAGTAGAATAACTATATCATTCAATAATGTTTAATACCATAACATTTCACTCTTCCACAGAACATTAACATTACTAACAAATCAAAATTACACATTGAAACCATTCAAAGGGTCACATGTTCAGAAACACAAAAGTTAAACTACAAGCTCAAAATCAATACTCATAACCTAGCATACATTAGGACCTCTAACTGAACATATCCCAATTACAAGAATCACCATGAACAATCCTATAACAGACCACTTGACCCTAGCTAATTCACTTTGGTTAGCATGGAATTCTTCTCTGAAATCACAAATGATGTCCTTCATTTGTTGCAATTGAACATTCACATCTGGGAACCGCAATTGCCCCTGTGGTCTATCAACAACATTCTGCTCTTGAATAACCAAATTCATTTCATCATGCCATACAAAATACTTACATTCGCCATCCTAAATAAAGAAATTCACAAAAAGGAAATATTACATGTATAATTTCAGATGTAATGTTAAAATAAATGAGGAAGGATTATGTTTGTATTAAAAAAACAGGAAATTATATAAATAAAAAATAGGAAATATTACATGTATAATTTCAGATGAAATTATATAAAAAAAATGAATCTTTACCATCCAATTTTGGCATCCTAGAAATTTCCTACCACTCTCGCGTGAAACACACAGAGGAGCTTTAAGGCCGCATCGACAATAGAACGGGGTTCATAATTTAGGGTTGTTTTTCGTGTAGAACTCTGCGAAGAACTGGACGCGCTTGTCAAATAGGGTTACAGTTGGCGAAATCCATTTTCCAAGTTTATGCTTTCCAGGGGAAGAAGATCGAGAAAGAAGACAAACGAGCAGACTCCAAAAATTTTGAGAAAACCTTTTCTTGTTAGGCTGGAGGAAGAAGATCGATGAAGAAGACAAGAGATGAGGACGATAGATGAAAAAGAAATATAAAGAAATAAAGGGAGATAAAGCTGATTAAAGTACATGTCATGTGTAAATGAAGCATTGAAAGCTACCAACCAGCCACGTCAGCGCCAACTACCTCTTTACCGGGTAAGGACGGGAAGCAGCCGGTGAAGAGGGCCCAATTGAATGAATTTTACGGGTTAAAGGGTTTAGTTGCACGGTCAACAGGTTGGAGGGCTTGATTGCAAATGATCAATTAGTTCGAGAGCTTATTTGTCACTTTTGGGGTAGAGAAAGTTTGGAGCATAAAGATTTCTAGATTCCAAACAGTGGCGGCGGATTGCCATACTACCCAGAGTACCCCACGTCCTCTGCTCCTGTATTAACATGTTATTACATGTTCCCTTCCCGATCTAACTCCAGCTACCTGCAATTCTACATTTTCTTGCCCAGTCCTCCATAGCAATGAACATCTAACCATCCAAACTCTTCTCTGCAAACAAGTTGTTAAGTTCCTCGCTGCCCGTCAATCAAACCAATCAAATGACCCTCCACTCTTTCCTCTCACTTCCTCTCTCTCTTCTATCCCCTCCCAACCCCAAAGTCTCTACCACCTCCACCGTTCTCTTCACTCCAGTTCGCACTTTATGTCGCCGGAAACAGTTTCTAGCGGTGAATTGTCATAACGCTAGCGTCACTACCGCCGTCGGAGATGACTTACCCCTCGACTATGCGAACTGGACCCCCAATCGGAACTCCTCTGCTAGTGATCGCAGAAGAGCTGGAGTGCTCCTCCACCCCACATCGTTTCCTGGCCCTTACGGCATTGGAGACCTAGGTCCCCAGGCTTTTTGGTTCCTCGATTGGCTTCACGACGCCGGTTGCTCTCTTTGGCAGGTTTGCTACCTTTTATTTGTACTGTCTGTCTTAGATACCAATGGAGTTATCGAGTCCGTTCATTTTTAGTATAACTATGGAAGTTGTTCCCTTTCTAACTTGCAAGCGTCTGATTAGTGTTACTGTGTGTACACTGTGCTTCAATTATTGAATTTTAGCTCCCAGTCTGGTCTGCCATTGTTAATATGATGTTGGTATAAAAAGCGTGATCCTGCTGGAAAACTAAGTTGCTACTTTAAGTTCCTATTCATTCAAAATGAAGAGTGCCATTTTCTCCATTTATGCATGTCGGGTGCTTCTGTGCAGGTACTTCCTCTTGTTCCTCCTGGAAGAAGAGCCAATGAGGAAGGATCGCCTTATTCGGGCCAGGTGAGTTATTCACTCCTGTTTTTAGTTGGCTGTGTCCCTTTAACATAAATTGGATGCTGTATTTCATAGGTAGATACACAAAAAGGAGCAGTTTTTTTTTTAATTATATCATTATATAAAAACATTTCCCTCTGCATAAAATTTTGAAGATATGAAATAGGAATTGCTTTCCCCCTTTCTCATGTTGTTTTGTTTTCCCTTCTTTTGTCAAAGCTTGTAATCCTGCTTCAGAGCTTTAGGTATTACCGTTACACAGCATTTTAAATCTCACATTTGAACCTTAAGAAATTAAAATTGTTCTACCTATGGTTACTTTCAGGATGCAAATTGTGGTAACACCCTTTTAATTTCACTTGAAGAACTCGTGAATGATGGTTTGCTGCTGAAAGAGGAGCTTCCAGAGCCTCGGTAGACAATGTTATAACCTGCAACACTCTGTTGCACAACCATTTTGCTGGATCTAATCATGACTTAACTGAGGACTTTACTTGTTTTTGTTCCAGATTCACGGATCGTGTGGATTTCTCAAGTGTTGCTGAAATAAAGGATCCTCTTATAGCTAGGGTAAATATATTCAGCGTACTTTTTAATATATTGAAAAAAAATATATTCAGCTTACTTTTAAATGCCAATAACTGTAAAAGGCATCACAACCTCCCCACCACCTCCCCCTATTCCTTTTGTAAAGGGAAAGTAGTAGGGATAAAGTTGCTCTGAACAAGTTTCTTAAATGCTGATTTTTTAACCACCGTTAGCTCTCTTTTTGCAATTTCTTTGTTTTCTTAAAAAAAAATCAATCGATGTTGTAATAAACAAATAGATAAATAGTCAAATGCTACTCTCGGTAGTCCATAATGTGAAAGCCTTCTCTGCTTACCTTAGTACCTTCACTTGTTTATCGGTTGCTATCTCTCTTTAGGCTGCAGAGAGGCTTATTTCCAGTCGAGGGAATCTCAAATATGAGCTTGAACAATTCCGCAAGGATAGAAATATTGCGAGTGAGATAAATATTCATCTTTTCTCCATTAGTAAATTAAATTATCATACAAGTAAGCTACTGTGAAGTTAAGCTATAAAGCAATTATAAATACTTTTGCAATTCTTTAACTTGAGACATCCTTCCTAAAATTTATTTAGGACAATCTAGCTATAATAGTGAAGGGCTTGGGGGATGACATTCTACTGTAGATGGTCAAAGTTGAGCAATGAAATTAGATGTAATAGGTTAAGGTTGTTGTTCTGTTTTCTTTTCCTACTTAATACATGCCATTTAATATAACTAAATTTGGGTAAAAATCATGTGGTTCGTAATTGGTACTTTGTAGGAAGTTAAACATCTGTATTCACTAACTAGCACTGTTAAATTCATTGGGCACTTTAACTTTGTCTATCAGTCTATGTGCTTGAGACTGGTCTTTGACTAAAAGGAAAAATCAGAAAATCAATCCCTGCTAGGCTGCTACTACTTCACCTGTTGAAATGTAATGTAAACCATGCTCTATAACTCCAGAAATTTATTCTTGTACATAATCATCAGTATATTAACTTGATGCATTGTTCTTGTTTCAATTATAAAAGTTTCTAAATATACATTGATCCATTTCAGGTTGGCTTGAAGATGCAGCATGTTTTGCTGCTATAGACAGTACTTTTAATACACTAAGTTGGTATAATTGGCCAGAACCATTAAAAAACCGGCATCTTGCTGCATTAGAAGACATTTATCAAAGCAAAAAGGATTTTGTAAGAACTCAACAACTCTGCTAAGCCCGTTATTCTATGCCTGTAATATTTCAAAAACTTGTGTATACTAATATTTGAACTGGTACACAGATAGATATATTCATTGCTCAACAGTTCTTGTTCCAAAGGCAGTGGAAAAAGCTGCGCAATTATGCACGTACCAAGGGAATTAGTATAATGGGAGACATGCCAATTTATGTTGGCTATCACAGTGCAGATGTTTGGGCAAACACAAAACAATTTTTGCTGGTTAGTCTCTTCTTGACTCAAACTTTATCCAAATCCCTTTTACAATTTTCCAGAGCATTTGTTGTTGGCACTTACGAATCGTTGCTGTAACAGAACAGAAAAGGCTTCCCCCTTCTGGTTAGTGGAGTCCCCCCTGATGCTTTCAGCAAAACTGGTCAGCTATGGGGCAGGTTAACACCAATCAAGAAACATGATTATCTGTGGTTGTCTGTATTGCTTTAAAATTAAATTTCAGCTATCTGTGATATTGCGTTTGTCATCAAGATATGCTATAACTGATTTGTCAAAGATTGCTGTGGTTTCCTCAAGTCTGGGTGCCTAAACTTAGGTCCTTTCCAATTAATGACTTTTCTTTTTTGGCTGAAGCCCTTTATATGATTGGAAAGCTATGGAGAAAGATGGATTCTCATGGTGGATACGCCGAATTAGACGAGCGCAGGATCTTTTTGATGACTTCAGGATAGATCATTTCAGAGGATTTGCAGGGTTCTGGGCGGTCCCCTCTGGTAAGATACTGAGATTTGTTCAGTATATAAGTTGTGATTACAGATCATATCCTCTAGTGTAAAGGAAATCAGACAGTTTATATCTGTGGATTTATGCGTTTATGCAGAAGCAAAGATTGCAATGGATGGCCGTTGGAAGGTGAGTTATTCTTATATCTCTGGCGATTCACCTCAGTTGATTGTACCTCGTAAAACTCCTCTGTTTGTATGTTGTCTGTAGGTGGGTCCTGGAAGACCTTTATTTGATTCCATCTCGAGAGCTGTTGGAAAGATAACTATTATAGCTGAAGACTTGGTAGGTTATTGGGAACTGATGTAAACTTATGTCCTTTTTAAATTTGATTCTGCAGCCTCACTAGCTCGAAGTCCATGGTTATTGTGAACTCTTCTTGTCGGACATCTTTGTCCAGTTGACCCTCATAACACATGACAGATAACTTTGTGTGCATGAATTTATATTCTCTCTATCTCCACAAAGATTAGAAAGTGGAAGGGTTTGGGTAGAAGGAAAACTTTCAGCGTGTTCGATAATGATTGAATTTACTAGTCAAGTACGAGTATTGCCATTTGGCCCTTGGTTAAATCTTACTTCTTAAGATTGTAGGGAAGTTATTATTGTAGTTCTGGTTTTAGAAATGAGCCATGATAAGTCAAGACTTCGACTTCATGATTTGTTGTTGTATTCTATATAAAGACAAATGATGCATCAAGCACTTACTTTTAGACATCTATAACTACTTGCCAGCTTGCCAGCTTGGTACTATCTTTGCTTCAACTTCTGTATAACATCTATGAGAGTTTGAACTTCATAATATTTTTGACTTCATGTTTTTTCACTGATATCTCCTTTTGACTCTCACACACATTTCTAACTTTGTGATATTTCTGAATGTCAGGGTGTTATCACTGAGGATGTAGTTCAACTTAGGAAGTCAATTGGGGCACCAGGGATGGCTGTGCTGCAATTTGGTAGCCACTTTCTTTTTAGTGTTCATAAGTGTCTTCATTTTCATTATTGAATCAAGTAGGACTTTTATTAAACGTAATTTGGATTGTGATCTCCAGGTTTTGGAAGTGATGCGGAAAACCCTCACCTGCCTCATAACCATGAGTGCAATCAAGTGGTATATACTGGGACTCATGATAATGACACGGTAAATTTTCATTGCTTTTGATTATATCTGTTGGTGTTTTTTGAACCATTAGGTCATGATGAGTTACACCCTCAAATAGATTCTCTGTGCATTTTGGCAAGTAGTGAAATCAAGTTTTGAACATATTTTGAAGAAATCATTTTTTACTAAATTGTGTTATAGATCAGAGGCTGGTGGGATGTCTTGCCACAGGAAGAGAAATCCAATGTGAGTATGATGCAGAGAGAATAACTTTTTGGCTCGTATGTTTGTCATGTGGCTGACATTGAGATTCATATGTTGATCATCAGGTATTAAAGTATCTCCCAGGCATTGATGAACATGAAGTTTCCTGGGGCCTAATCCAGTCTGCACTTTCTTCAGTGGCACGAACCACAATTATACCCATGCAGGATATATTAGGTCTTGGAAGTTCTGCTAGGATGAACATTCCCGCAACACAGGTTGAAATAAAATATGCTTGCTTATTACACTCTGGTCTCTCCATCCTTATTTGTTTAACATTGTTCGATTTGCACCAAGTTTAAACAATAAATTTTTATCGCTCAGAAATTATGTTGTGTTCATTCTGCTTATTATACTTATTAGTAGAACATAAGCAGAAAAAGTAGTATTTGCCTTATTCACTGAAATGGACTTTGCCCAAGGTTTTACCATTCATAAAATAGAATTTGGTTAGATTGAGCCATTTGAACCAAATAGCCCTTACCAAACGAGCTCCTATTTTGAAAAGAAAGAATTAGGGAAAACTGTCAAATAAATCCATGTAGTTTTCATGAAAAGTCAATTGAGTCCACTTACTTTTTTGGAAGTCCAATTAAGTCCACCAAATAACAAAAAACAACCAAATCAAACTTTTAGCATGTCATCAACCATTAGCCGGTTACCTATCAAAAAAGCATCCAGCTGGCCCTCTTTTTTGCATTTAAAAATAGTTCTCCCTTTTTCTTTTCTTTTTTCTCTTCCCTTCCCCCTTCTCTTTCAATCTTTTCCGATCCCCAGGCTTGCATTCTCCGATCTTTACTTCCGGTAGACCCTAGAAGATATACTTGTGTCTATATATGGTGGCTTGGACGGCGGAAGCTACTTGAGTGAATGAGACATAGTAAAAGACCGCAGAGAAGGTAACTATGGATGTAGGAACGGCGGAGATGGAGGCCGGCCCGGACCGGAGGTGTTGGGTATTTGGAGACCAGGGCGGATGGAGGTCGTTCTAATGAAAGCAGTGGAGGTAGAGGTGGCCTAGTTTGGAGATAGGAGTGGAGAAGGTGGAGGGTGGCTATGGGTGCCGGGGCGGTTGGAGGTTGTCGGTCCAATGGAGGAGGCAGGTGGGGGCTATGGATTCCGGGGCGGTTGGTCTCTCCAATGGAGGAGGTGGAGGTTGAGGCCACATTTGTGGTGGCCGGAGGCGGTGTGAATGGAGGTAGTGCGGTGGAGGTGGGGCTGTGCACGGAGGTGGTGGGCAATGGAGGCCGGGATACCGCTGCAATAGAATTGGCAGAGGGGAGTCTGCAAAGGTGGTGGTCGGAGGCGGTGACAGAAAAATGAAAGAAGTGATGGGAATTCGGGAAATGAGCGGCCAAGGAAGAAAGGGAAAGAAGAAAGAGGAAGGGAGATAAGAAAACGGAAAAAAGAAAAGAAAAAATGTAAAAAATTTGAAAACATTAAAATAATGCTGACTGGGATATCCACGTAGACATTCACCGGGAAAACCGATCGATGACCTACCAAAATGCTAATTTGGTTGTTTTTGTATAGTTGTTGGACTTGATTAATTTGTTGGAAAGTATGTGGGCTTAATTGACTTTTTGGGAAAAGTAGATGGACTTATTTGACAGTTTTCCCAAAGAATTACTATCAAGTATCAACCATAAACTTATTTCTTCAAAAAAGAGATGAGAAGATTATTCAGAGATGGCCAAAGAAAGGAAACACTGTAAATTAAAGAGAATATTATCATACGTGTGACTAAAACTACTCCTCTTTCTCAAAATATGACTTGACAAGTTTTCTTCCCTAAATAATACTTATTTGGTAATACGTAAATAATACTTTTAATAAATAAATAAAGATATATTTTATATAGACTAAAATGCCCATAACTTATTATTATTAATAAACCCTAATATTCTCCCTCAATCTATCATCGCCTCCATGTTCGTGGCATCGCCTCCATCCGCGTGCATCCCCTGCACCAAGTAGCAGTGTGATTAGCGTGGGAGGGGATACGATCCCTAAGATTAATCCTTCTCTATTCCGGTTAAACCAGGCCATAGGATACGACGAGCATCCTCTGTGGAGGGTAACGTCAAAATGTTTGTTGCGTTCGAAATTAGAATATAGATGAATTGGAAACCGATTCACAAAAAATTCTGATGTGAAGAACAAAAAAGCAATTTCCAGGGAGTCTCTTTCTGCCCGCCACATACACGAAGGATGGAATTTCACACCGAATAGAAGGTATGGTTGTGCCTGAAGGACATTTCTTTATATTTTCTAGTGATGATTGAAATATGAAATATGATCGATGGACGTGTTGTGCACATTTTGAGTAAAGATGTTCTTTTTCCAAATTAAGCAGATAGTTTACTTATTTACGTAGTATGTTGAAATTTCGAGAAGAGAAGTTGAAAATGCGGATGATGAAATTACAGACTACCATTTGTGATGCTTGAGGCCAGGTGGACTAAAGATTTAAGAGACAATTTATCACAAACTTTCGAATATCAAAAGGTTGGAGTGCAGGGGCTATGCGAGGGAACATCATTGTCAAAAGGCTGGTGGGATAATCGAAGATGAGATGGGTCTTATCTTGAGATTGTGATTGGAGCAGATATTTTTGTTTTATATTGAATTTAGGGTTTCGATGCATTAAATATGAGCATTGAACACCGTCAGTGAACATTTCAATAAGTGTTGAAGTATATCGTAATAGACATATTGAACATGACAGTGAATGAATGCATTAAGAAATTTTGTTGTGCATTCATTATGACCGATATTGCAGTAATACAGAGCAGTGAATTCATCATGAAATGCAATGTACTTAATTAGAAGTAAAATAATAAAATTATTAAATCTAAAAAACAAAAAAAAAACAAAAATAAATTCCTCAAGTGAATGAGAAGAGAATTAATTTTGGCAAAAGTGCAGTGATTATAACCAGATGTGCAGTGAAGATGCGCATTAATTTTGTGCATTAACGGCAATATAAAGTGCAGTAATTTTAATTGGACGAAATTAGTGCAAAATGCACATATTTTAAATAAGGGTATTTTCGTCATTCAACATTTAAATATAAACGAATTTTCTATTTGTTTTTGGATTTTTGGTCATATAAAGGTATAAAAACTAGTTAGGTCATAGATTGAGAAACTCATTGAGTTTTAGTCATATCCCGGTAAATTTCCCTAAATTAAAAGGGCACAAAGGGAGTAGTAGTATACTTCTTGTCCCCCATATGGTTGAATAGACTTTCCTTTTTTTTGTCTAAAAAGTATGTACACTTTTCTAACTTGAAATCCAATAACTCTTTCCTTTCCAGCTTTATCATATCATCTATAAATTCACCGATCACGTGTGGATTCATACTATTTTTCTTTCTAGAAGGTTACAATTTCAAAATACCAACAATCTCCATTGTTTTCTCAAAACTCGTGTCGGACCTGAATTATCCTACATTTTGGATGGGGGGATTTAAATCAGGAAATAAAGCAAGCATGTGGCGGTGGGATATTAAAAAAATCCGAATCTCCTAAGTAATTCTTTTCCCTTTGTTTGGACCTCTGGAATACATCATCCTCAAATCTTAATTCATCCTATAACTTCTCATTTACTCTTTCAGCTCTATTTAATGGAGTGAATATATGGTGGAGTTACTATACTTGGATTAGAATTTAGACATCGAAAAAAAAGATATAATTGTTCATTCCGTCCATGCAGTTTGGGAACTGGAGTTGGAGAATACCTCAGTCTATCAGCTTTGACAACTTGGGGGATGAAGCAAAGAAATTAAGGGACATGCTTGAAACTTATGGCCGGCTATGATTTCTTGGAATATAAAATTGGAGTAAATGTTCTGTTGCAGCCCGAGCCTTTTCATGAATTAGGTTGTACATATGTACCCAATACTAGACGTCAAAGGTGTATCAAATAAAGAAGATATATGATCGTGAAGGATCAAAAGCTCTTTCTGGGAAGCCCCTTTTCTTCCTATTTTGTTATGTTTGATAGTTCCTGAATTAAAGGCAACTAATTCAATAATGCAATGTCAGTGATGAAGATTTGCTTCATTCTCTTTTTGTTTATTGTTTATATGTGTTGGGTATAACATGACTATGAGTATAAAAATGGCACTTCGTGACAAATTGGAATAACCTGACCAGACTATTCATTTCTTTTCTCGTAATAGTGAATAAGTATATTTCAGTACCGGGGGGGGGGGGGGGGGGGGGGCAGCGCGCGGGGGGAGGTGATGGCACACAAGGCAAATGGCAGCCTCTGGGACGTGGCGGTTCATTCACATGGGGATTGGCGGGGACTTGTTATTATGTTCGGTTAAGTCAAAATCATTTTTGTTCAGTGCTATAATCTTTGAATACGTTTGACTTAGAGAGTGTTTGCAATTGCTTCAACTTTAAAAAAGTGATTTTTTAAAGTGATTTTGGGAAAAGTGATTAATAGTAAAAGTTGGTAGTGTTTGAGAAAAAAGTGATTCTGAAAAAGTAAAAGTTGGTAGTGCTTGGTAAAATAAGTACTTTATGTGTAATAGAAAAAGTGAGAAGCAGTTTAAAACACTCTTCTACCTGCTTCCAGCTTTTAGCTTTTAAGTGATTAATTTAAGCAGAAGCTGTCATTTGAAAACACTCTTTTCAACTTTTTTTAAGCCAAAAGCTGAAAAACGTTTTTTTTATGCAAACCCAAACATCCTTTAGTACTAAGAGATGTGAATCACCTTTTTACTGTAAAATCTAATAATTTGAGTGCTTTTTTTTTATTGCTTCAATTCTTAGTTGATCTGATTCCATTATTTGATTTACTTCTCGTCCAATGATTATCAGCCTTCAAACAATTGAATTTTGGATTGAGCCTAATAATGTAGTTAGACATACACATTAGTTATATTCTCATGTGATTTACATACTCCGTATTTGTATTTGACCAATTTTTTAAATTAATATATTTATGAAAAAAATAATAATTTTATACTTTTATAATAGTACTTTTCAACAAAGAACATTTTCATATAATTTTTATATTATTAATATTTTTTCTATATAGATATATAATCGGTCAAAGTTAGGTACCATTGACTTGAAAAAACAAGTTTGGCTAAGTAAATTGGGATGGAGGGAGTACGTAGTATTAGAGGATGAAAAGTTTTGTAATTTTTTTACTTTACATGATTTTGTGCTCATTCTAATTCATCTAAAGCATAGTTCGTGTCTCCTCATAACCTCTACAACTTTACGTGTTTTTATTTGTTATCATGTTGATGGCTAAGATTATTATCATCTTTTCTTGATAACATTATTTTTTAGATTAATTAGTCTTATGTTATTACTCCTTTATAAGCATTTTATTTAGTGACTAATTTGTTTAGGTCAACAAAGAAGTGCCTTTGCAAGTTAAATTGTGTTGGAACCTTGTTTCACATATTGGTCTTATTTGGCAATCGGCTGTTAGCTGTTAGCTGTTAGCTGGTTATGTCAGCTGTTTGATCATAGCTGGTTATGTTAGCTGTTTTGATTGGCTGATTATGTTAGCTTGTTGTTAATAAATGTTTGGTAAAATTAGCTGTTATAAAACAGTTGCTTGAGTGTAAAAAGACGTATAAGGACACGAGTGTATATATAATATTTGAGTAATGATGATAGTGATAATGTTAAAACTATAATTAATTTGCAAAATAAATTATTTAAGAAAAACAATATTTTATTTGAAATGTAAAAAGAATAAATTAAATTTTAAGATAAAAGTATAATAAATCTAAACAAATAAATCTTTTAGAAGGAATGGGGGGAAAATCAGAAGAAGAAGAAGAAATGAAAATTAATCGAAAATACAAAGAATGGGGAAAAAATCAGAAGAAGAAAAACCATGAAAGAAGTTACGTACCTTTGCTTTCAAATGGAGAAGAAGAAACATGGCTGAGATAAAGAACGGAGATGGCAGTATGGCACACCAGGGTATAGACGGAAAAAATAAATAGAATAAGCTGAGAGTAAACCTAAACGCCGGGTGGTCTGGCTTTTCACATTTCGGCTTCTTCATATGGATCAGCCGAACTGAGAAGCTGATTACCAAACAACATTTTTGGCTTCTTAACCAAGTCAAACATCTATTTTGAGTCAAACAAGCTAAAAAATGGCTGATAAGCCGTTTGCCAAACAACCCCATTATCAAAACCATTCAATAAAAAATATTGTTTTAAAAGTATTTTTGAATTAATAGTTTTTAATTTTGAAATCATATGATCAAAAAAATTTGAAATCTATCAAGCACCTAATTACATCGATTCAATATCATCATAAATTAAGGTGACCAATAACACTTCTTACACAATTAGATTATTCCAAAATCAAACTACTACAGTGAGTAAAATAGTCATTTACAAAAAAAAAAAGCTTTACTTCCAAATTGGACACTTGCTTTCATAAAATAGTATCCAAATAATTCATTATATCCTTTTTAATTTAGATTTAAAACGAGAATTGTCACTTTTTCATTATATCATGAGATTTGGAACAAGGTCGTAAGTCGTAACACAAAAAGTCAGTTCCAAGCTAAATAAGGTATCGTACCTACCATGCATTTGATTGGTCCAAATCATTATATCCTTTTTAATTTAGATTTAAAATAGGGTATCGTACCTACCATGCATTTGATTGGTCCAAATCAAATGGATACCCATTAAGAAAATGGGATATCGTACCTACCATGCATTTGATTGGTCCAAATCATTATATCCTTTTTAATTTAGATTTAAATAATTCAGCTGTATCCAAATCATTCATTATATCTTTTTTAATTTAGATTTAAATAATTCATCTGTATCCAAATCATTCATTATATCCTTTTTAATTTATACTCCCTCCGTCCCAGAATTAACTTCGGTTTTGACTGGGCACGGAGATTAAGAAAGTGGGAAATGTGTGGTGGAGAGTTGTGCAGAGGAGAGAGAAATGTGTAAGAATGGTTGTGAACCACAAATCCTTTGCTAAAAGGGGAAAGAGGAGATAAATTTGGGACGGACCAAAAAGGAAAGAATGAAGATAATTATGGGACGGAGGGAGTATTTAAAACGAGAATTGTCACTTTTTCATTATATCATGAGATTTGGCTGATTTGGAACAAGGTCGTAAGTCGTAACCCAAAAAGTCAGTTCCAAGCTAAAACCGGAAAAAAGTATGTTGAGAGTGGGATTTGAACCCACGCCCTTAAGAAATGGATACCCATTAAGAAAATAGGATATCGTACCTACCATGCATTTGATTGGTCCAAATCATTATATCCTTTTTAACTTAGATTTAAATAATTCAGCTGTATCCAAATCATTCATTATATCTTTTTTAATTTAGATTTAAATAATTCATCTGTATCCAAATCATTCATTATATCCTTTTTAATTTAGATTTAAAATGAGAATTGTCACTTTTTGATTATGGATATGTTTGGCACAACTAGCTAAAAAGATACTTTTACGAGCTTTTTAATAACTGGTAACTTTTAGTGACTGAAAAGATCTTAAAAAGAAAAGGTGATAGCTGTTTGGTAAAAAGCCGACTATTTGATTTAGTTCGGTTTGGTATACAAGCTGTTAGGACTAATTAATACTAAAAGTCACGAGCTTTTCTCATATGCTACACCCGGTAGCATCTCAAAAAAGATCTTTTAATTTTTGAAAAGCTATTAAAAAATGTCATGCCAAACATACAACTAAAGTCTTTTTAAAGAATAGAGAAGCTAGAAGAAGGTTAAAACCGGAAAAAGCTAGAACAAACATATCCTATATCACGAGATTTGGCTGA